AGAGGAGGTCAGACTATATGACTCTATGGCCCTTTCTGGCCTTTAAAGTATGAAATCAGAGTAATGGACACACCTGTTTAAAACCTGTTGATCATGAGAACAGTTATTATAGACTGACTTTGGGTAAAGTCCACACCCTGTTTTTACCTTGCTGTTCTTTGCTCATTTCTCCTTACAACTTGAGCTTGAAGGATGATGAGACATGGCGAATAGGGTGCTACTTTTGTGTTAGGAGTGGAAAAAGGAAGAAAAAGACTTAATAGATAAGTGGAAAAGAGAACTGTAAGGGTGCGTCCACACAAGCACACACGTACCTCTTGCCCCGCCTCAAACCCCTTTGAGGCGGGGCAACAGGCACGTGCGGGAACAGCGCGGGGAGAAAATTAGACTCCTGGATATCCAAGGGTCTAAAAAAATCGACGTGGGCTGCCAGAGTCTCTATGGTTGCTTCTCGCCCTGGTGCTCACCGGCCACATGTTTCAGCACCAGGACTCCAGTGCTGGAGGGAGAAAGGGACCATGGCGGGGGGAGGATCCCCACTGGCCGGGCAACAGGCACGTGCGGGAACAGCGCGGGGAGAAAATTAGACTCCTGGATATCCAAGGGTCTAAAAAAATCGACGTGGGCTGCCAGAGTCTCTATGGTTGCTTCTCGCCCTGGTGCTCACCGGCCACATGTTTCAGCACCAGGACTCCAGTGCTGGAGGGAGAAAGGGACCATGGCGGGGGGAGGATCCCCACTGGCCTCGCCCACTCCCCCAGCCCCCCTGGCCCCCACCAGCCCCCGGACCCCTGCCCTGTCCGTTGGAGGTGCCTTGTGTCTGCCTGGGGCCCCGCTCGCACAGTGTAGGGCAGGCTGACAGTCCCAGCGGCCCCAGCCCGGCCCTGTTGCCCCTGCGCTGCCCTGTGCTGCCCGGGGGGCTCTGGGGGAGTGGGGCTGGGTGGGACAGCCATTGTGAGGGCTGCAGCAACTGGTAGGGGATGGGGCCAGGTGGGGCAGCAATTGGGGGGCTGGGGTGGGGCATGTGGGCCTTGCAAGAAGGGTGGTAGCCCCTGTGACGGCCATTTGGCCCCTGTTGGGGGCCTGTACCCCTTGTGTGGGGGTTGAACCCCCTGTTTGGGGGCCATACCCCTTGTGAGAGTGCCGAACCCCCTGTTGGGGGGCCGAACCCCTTGTGTGGGGGTTGAACCTGCTGTTGGGGGGCCGTAGCCCTTGTGAGAAGGCCAAACCCCTTGTGTGGGGGCCATCGCCCTGTGGGAGGGCAGCAAAACATGTATTCATGAATTCATGAAACGTACTTAGAGTTCACTTTATTATTATGATAAGAGACTTGCTTTAACACTGTAGATATATCAATAAAACATTGTCCAACTGATCACTGTCTCTGTCCCACTCTCTCTCTATAGTGGTCTTTTGTTTTACTTGTGGAGGAACATGGATTTGGGGGTATTTTACAGAGTGACTTTGGGATTTTTTTTTATCAGGGATTTTTCAGTTTTCCAACAGGGAACACCAGAATTCCTGCTAGGGAGGCCAGTGGCGGTGCCCTGCCTGCCCACAGCTGGCACCTTGGACCCAGCTGGCTGTGGCTGACCTCCTGGACAAATGGGGCTGGGAAGACATGCTTTGACAGTTCAAAGCAGGCCACCACACCCGGAACATCTTCCAGGCAATAGCTGCCCAGATGGCCGGACAGGGGGCACAAATGGCAGTAGTGCTGCACAAAGGCCAGCCCTGCAACTGCAGTCCACTGGCAGCTGGCCCAGAGGGGCAGATGCCTCTACTGGCTGTGTAGTCCCCATCCGGGTCTGGCAGGTGCACAGCAGGTCACAGCTAGGCAGCAGCCCCCAGTGCCAGACTGCTGCAGTGGGTAAAGCATGCAGGGAACTCTCAGGGCTGCTTCAGCAGTCCAGCTGGCACAAGGGGCAGTGTCCCCACGTACCAGTTGGCTGGGCCCCAGAAGCTCCTGAGAGCTAGTAGCCCTGAGCTACTTGCCAGGGTCGCTTTTTATACTGCTGGGGCCAGGACAGCGCAGCTTTTTAAACTGCTGGGGACAGCACAGGTGCTGGCCCTGGGCTCTAGCTCCCCCTGGCTGAAGATCCAGAGGAGCCAGGCAGGGTTATTTTGCCCCAAGTGGCACAATTTGCTCCACAACAAAGTGTATGTCCGAGCACATGCGCTGAGGCAAAAAGCCCCGGCTCAAATTTGCACCGCGTCTATTTGAGCTGCTGCAAGCGCACGTGCTTGCATGTGTGGACACGCCCTAAGAGTCAAGAGTCATTGCTTTTAAATAACATTTAGGCTCCTAATTTGTCTAAATCATTTTACAAATGGGACTTCAACTCCTAAGACACTTCAAAAATTTACTGTACCTCTTCTAGCAACCAAGCAGAGGAAAATTGGAGAAAGTGTCAGAACAAGTCCTCTCACATTTTTGATGCCATAGGATTTCTGTAACCTGTCTGACCTTCCTGTTTAAGTGTCTCAGGATGAAGTAATAAAGAGGCACAATAAATGTGCTCATCATTGTCTCCTTGCTGACAGACACATTTGAAATTGAAAATAATAACAAAAAAAATCTGGGGCAGACTGGGAGAGCCTGAGCCCTGACACTCAAAGAGCTGTGAATGGAGCTTTTGATGATGGTAATCTTGTTTGTTCAATGAAGCATGATTTGTCTGGTATCAGTTTCCAGTGCACAGCCTTGGTGTCCCACTTGTTCACATCAGATTTCAGGGGCAAAGGGGGAGATCTGAATGGCACCACTCTCTTTGCATTGCTTAAGGTCCCAACGAGAATAATTAATTTTAAATACAATACAGTCTTTCCTTGTGCAGAACTAAAGCATGGAGGTTACTAACCACATCACTCATTCCTCAAGCTCTTCCCATTGTCTGTTCAGATGGGTGGAAAGAGAACTCTATTCACATTCCCTTTAGTTTACCATCCACATTGCCTGAAGTTAGATAAATGCTGAACGTTTCAAAAGATCCCTGAAAATCATACTGCTGTCTGGAAAATGTTCATTCGCAATTAATACCTATGGCACCTGTAACTGAAAGACTAGGGAAATAGTAAGTTGTTGTTTTTTTCTCATTTATTTACTTTATGTTTTTTGTATAACTGGTTTACTTCATTTGTGTTCTGGCCTCCACAGTAATGTGGAAGCGAAAAAATATTTGTTTAAAAAAAGGTCTAGAAGAAGTTGGAAAAATCACACATCGGCAGGCAGAAACAGAGACAGATGCATGTAATCATGCAAACAGCTCTTCACTTGCTTTTCAGCTGCCTGGGATTCAAGTGGGCCCTTGATGGTTTCTCAGGGGAAGACCATTGTCTTTCTAAAGGAATATACTGAACCCAGAGCAAAAGCATGTTTCCTTTCTGTCTTAAGGCTTGCCTGCAAAGACTCCTCTGATACTATGTCATATTATTATTTAAAGTTATGCCAAAGTATATATATGTGTATGTGTATTTATATATGTGTGTGTACATGTGCTCTCTTTATATATAATTATACACACACACACATATATATGTATACTAGCTGAAGTACCCATTCTTTGCCCGGGTTGTTATTTTTGTAATTGCAGTATTTGTTTATTCTCAAAGAACTTAGTACAACATATTTAGGTAAAAAATATTGTTTGTTTTTAAAGAACATAGCACAACATATTTAACATGTAATATTTAACGTGGAGCAAAAAAAGGGCACGCATCAATATAATAATGGCAATTGAATTTTAAAAAAGGCAAGTGGCAATATAATAATGACAGTTGAACTGCATTCACTGCATGCAAAATGGAGAGGTACCAGTTTGTTATCTGAGAAGTGAAGTAATCCCAGTCCATGGAAGCCCCAAAAAGGGTCAAGTGAAAAATAACCCGCCTATAATTTTCTTTGGGTGGTATTCAGTGATTTTGGAAGGTTTAGAATAGATAGGACCAGCCATTCTTGAGTTATAGGCAAACATACATACATACACTTCATTATATATATATATAATATATATATGCTCAAAAACCTATTATAGCTCCTGAGAAGAGTGCACTATTTAATCTCATTATGTGAAGGGTCAGCATTACTGAGTATATTGACTCTCATTGTGAAGACTGCCTCACATATTAGATATAAAGATATGTAATTTTAAAAGAATTTTTCCTACATTTGTAATAAAGTCTTTGATGTCCAATTTAAGAACTGACAATGCATGATTAGATGCTGGAAAGCTCAGATATGAACTAGAATATATAATAATATTTGGCATATTTGGCACAAGGTATGGTAAGGCCTTCCATAGTGCTTTCTGTCTCAGGAAGATGCACATATTTACAAACAAATGATGAAAAGAGATTCAGAATGCCCTTGTTGGATAAGCATTGTTATTCCCAGGAGGAAACTAAGGAACACAGGTATGAAATGATTTGCCCTAAATAACATGGCAAGTTACTGGCAGACCTGATAATAGAAGAAAGATTATCTACTTCCTCTGCTTTAGCCATAATTCCTGACAAACAGGAATCAGCTCAAATGGGAAGGATGACCTAGTGCTTAAAACATACTCAGGAAGTCTGGGTCCAGTTCCTGTCTCTGCCACTGACTCATTGTATGACCTTGGGCAAGTACGTTGTTTTCCTGTGTCTTGCGTTCATCCTCTTGATCGTATGAACAACATTTACCTCCCAGCTCTCTGGAGTGATGTTCTGAGCCTGCTTGATGATGTTTCTAAAACACTTTGTGATACTCAGATGGGAGGAGCTGTAAAAGTACAAAATAAGGATACTTTTCTCTAAAATGGCGACAAGGTCTCTGATTAACCTGATGATTCCATTAGTGTGATAGATTTAGACATTCTCAGTATACCATTTCCTTGATTGTTTGCCTCTGCTGGTATTTCATATATATTTGTGTTTCTGTACGTGCAGGAATAGCAAGTACATATGTCATCCTATATTGTGAAGAAATTGCTATCCATTTGTAATTGTCCTTTTATCTACAGGTATGGAATGAACTGTTTAATCCAGTTTGAAGATTTTGCCAATGCCAATGCTTTCCGTCTCCTCAACAAATACCGCAACAGATATTGTACATTCAATGATGACATTCAGGGTGAGTAAAAATGCAGTTGGGAAAGTGAGACTTCAACCCAGTCCAGCACACAGGGAAATACAATTCAGTTCACAAGACCATTAGAACGTAAGTGTCTACGGGGCCCCACAAAAGCAATTAAATAATAAACAAAAGCGCAATAGCGTGTGGTGAAAAGTGTGCCTCCATCCTTTAGCTTTAGCATCCTTTAGCTCCATTTAGCTTTTCTGCAAATTTCTGCTGCAGTTCTTGTTGTGAGAGAAAATATCCTATATGGTTTCTCCTTGTGCATTAAATTATTAAGGCAATTTCGGGAGTTTAATTTTCTATAAGCAGGCTCAAGCAGTAAAAAATGTAACAGTTGCACAGGTTGTTTAATTTTCGTATGTTTTATAAACATTCAGTAATCCTTGCAATGACTCTGTATTATTATCCTCTCCACATATACATGGGGAACTGATATGGTGATAGCCAACCCCTGCCTTTAGCTTCACTCTCAGTATTAATGGAAAGTTAAGTTCTTTTTCCCCAAAGAGACTAACGTGACTTTCCCAAAGCCATGGAGAGTGACATAGTTGGTATTAGAGTGTTAGACCACAGTTGTTCTCAACATAGTGTATATGAATAAACCC